TTAAGAACATCAAATTTCCAAGGGGCAACTATCAGACCGATAGTTCCGAGATATAAACACTCTATTGTCTTTATTGTTTACCACTAAATTTTCTTCCGTGCACCAGTTCAAAAATCATATTGAATTATTTTCAGCATTTTTAGATGAAAGCCGTGACAGCCAGATGTAAACTTTCAAAAAGAAAACCGACAAAAACCCACTTAATACAATTTCAATTCTTTATTTTCTAGAAAACCGCTTGTTTACAGAACATTTTTCACGGACGAGTACTATCCATCCGGGTATTTTCCGCGGACGGGCACTATGGGCTGATAGTGTCTCTCCGCGGACGAACACTATCGCACCACGTCATCAATTTAAACCAATAAGAATCGGAGAAAATTTAGTGGTGAACTATAATCTGTGATAGATAGTGAGTAGCGTAGCAGTGTGCGCTTGTTAACAAAATAACGGCCCCTTCTTGGCGTTTTCGAAGTGTTTGTGAAGAGGATTTAGATAAAGTTTTAAATGACTATTAAATTAGATTTAAAACAATTAGATTATTCGCTCTCGATTTCTATGCGTGATAGTTGACTCGGGCTGCACCTTCGTCAACTATCACGCGATAGAAATCTCAAGCTCATAATCTAATTGTTTAATAGAAGTACAGCTTTCAGCGTGCGCTTTGATACTAGGTATATGTCTTATTAGGCATATGGCTATTAACAACAAAATATCTTTACTAGAGCGATTAATACAAGGCTGGATGCTGTGGCAGAGCTTTGCAGTCCTAGTGCATCATGTTTGTCATCTTTAAAGGGTCAGTTGACTCAGCTTCCTGACTTAGAAAGAGGATTATGCACCATTTACCACAAAAAGGTGGGTTCAATAATTTTTTTAACAGAGGTAGAGAAAGGTGCTTTTTCAACAGATGTACCGCCAAGTGAATTAATTCCCAATAATTTTTCTTCTTGGCTTTTGCTTAATAAGGAGCTTTGCAGTTAGTGTCAATGACATGCACATGTTCAAAGTTTATTTTGCATCAATTACATGTCGACCTGCCTTATAAAAGGGTCGATTTATGTCGCCTTTTCTTTGCAAGAAGTGCGGGCGTAGGGTACTGTTACAGATGTGGCTATTGAAGAGAAACCAAATGACACGGCTATGTTTTTTAGCTTTTTTAAGTCATGTAAAAAAAAAGAAAACGCAATAAAAATTATGCATTTGATGTCATGTCAATTGAAGGTTTTTTTCTGCCTTGTGTTTTTTACAGTGTACACCAGCAGAGTTTGTAGCGATGTCACAATCTCTGGTAAAGCTCATGAAACATGTTCAGTCTAACAAGGAAGCAGCTACAAGCAAACTGGAATCTCCGTTGTTGAGAAACCTTTTTACTGAGGTATAGAAAATTATTTGTTAACTTATGTAAAAGAATTCCTCAATGGCATCAGGTTTAATTTTTTTGGTTTCATTTAGTTTATATATTAATCAGGGTTGCCACAGGTCAGGAAATGGTCAGAAAATAAAAAAACCTCTTCAACGTCATGGAAAAGTCAAGCAATTTTATTTTGAGTAAGGGAAAATTGATATTTTGAAGAAAAGTCAGGGAGAATTGAAATAATTTAACATTGCTGATTTAAGACCATTGAAGGATGGAAGAACATTAATTTTGGGGTCACTGCGATCTCGATGACATTTTTCCTTAATGAAGAAGGAAAATTTGTTGAAAACTTGTCAGTCAATGAACGAGTGGAAAGGATGGCTGTAAAACGAGGCTAGAAGCCGCTATTAGATCTGACATTTTGTATTTATTTGGTCAGGGAAAATTTGATTTTTATCAGGGAAAAGGCAGGGAATTTTGAAAAGTGATGTCTGTGGCAACCATGTTAATTGGAACCTTCAAGTCAGGAAAAAACCTAGTTGTAAAAGTTTCCAGCCGTTTTATGCATTTCTACAAATAGTACTGAATTTTTTTTTGTGAAGTGCAAGGTCCACAAAACTTCAGAGAAGGAGAGCTTGTAGGAAAACCATGGTTGAAAAACATTGAAAATTAGAGGGAATTTAAAATGGTCTCAACTGGTTTTGTGTGGGGATGTAGGAGTTATTTTGATGAAAGGCCATTTCATAAAGTATTGATTAATTCTTTCAGGTCCCAAACTATCTGGATGATGTTGGGGATTTTCTGAAACTGATTGATGAACATGCCGCCAAGTAAATACTAATTTGTGACTGAAATACGTTGAGTAATATTGTATGTTAAGGTTGCGTGAGATAGGCTTGTCTCTCTTTTGCTGAGAATACATAATGTGTTGTTGATGGAATTAAGGAACAACTAACAGTTAGAGTAATGGGATAAAGAACAGAAAGGAAACCGTTTAAAAAGGGGATAAGAATTTGTTTCTTTTCAAATTACATGTAAATGATAACTGAGCAATAGTAGCCTTTTCCTTGTTTATATTTCAATAGCCTCATCTAAACACGAGGGGGCATGGGAGAATTCGAGACATTTATACAAACCCGCGAGAACAAGTCAAGGTTTTACAGAACTCTCGAGAATTCTCCCAACCCCTCAAGTGTTGGGATTAAGCTATGTACAAAAAGGAAAAAGTCTTCTATTGCTTTTATGAACACATCTACCAACCAATGAGAGTCGTGTACTTTTTCCAAATTATTGCGTGCAAAAAGAGCCATTGAATGCCTTTAAAAGAGAACTTAAGTTTTTTAGTCTTGAAGGGATCGACATTTTATTCAATTACAGTTTTTTATTATTTATTTTTATTTTTATTATTTATTACAGCTCTGGTGAAATTTTTGTAAGTGTTATAATACTAAATTATTTAAAGTCATGTAACTTTGATATTCTCTCCACCTTTAGGGATGGCGATAAAACCAAGCTATTTTGTGACCAGGCAAAGTTCCCTGCAATTTTAAAATGCAATTTGGTGAGGAGTATAACAATTTGTCTTACACTGAAGCATGCGTTTTCAAGGTCACCGACGAAACACGTGTTTGAGAGAAATGAGCCGTGATTTAATGCACAAATATTGTTGCCCAGTTTAGTGTGAACTGTGATTTTGCAGCTTTCATCCATTTTGAAGACAGCATCATCCAGTGGTTAACGAGGGAAAGGGGGGGNCCCCCCCCCCCGGTCCACCTCTTGCCAGTTAGGATTCTTAATTTGTTCTATTTGCTGTATTTGTTTGTGATGAATGATAAATCAAACAAAAGTGACCTTGTCTTTACCACATTTCCAAACACCGAGAAGAGAGTTGAAAATACGACGCGCAGCGGAGTATTCAGTTTTGACGAACTTCGAGTGGTTTGAAAATGCGGTGAAACACTGTTTCATGTGTTTTTTTTCAATCGAAACCAAAACTACAGTGGAGCCCCGTTACTCCGGTCACCAATAGGACACAAAAATCTGGCCATATTAACAGCGTGTCTGTATTAAAGGAGTTCGTTAAATAAGAAAATAACTGACTGATCCTTTGTTCGGGCCAGAATAAATTGGTCGTAATAACGAGGTGGTCGTATTAACGGGGTGGTCGTAAGGCGGGTTTGCAAGGTTACTGGAAGCAGAAAAATAAAATCGTAAGAATCTATCCTAATTCAGATCAAACATCCAAACGCTGTCAAGGTTAAGATTTCTTTTGTTTAAGCTTGATGAATTATTATTTTTCCCACTAAATGAGTGGAATAAACATTTTATTACTACGAAAACTTGTTCTCGATCACCAATCCAGCCTTACCTCCCCTTACAATTCTCTCGTTTCAATCCCCTACTTGTACTTGCTTGCCCCACCATTTTTTTGCTAAACAGACGTATGCACACTTTGTTTCCCCTGGAATTAGGAGATTGAAAAGATTCTAGCAGAGTTGAAGAGCCACCGTTCTGAGTTTAGACAGATTTTACGTCACCCATCGCTGGATTACTGTTGTGTATCGGGGAATGAGGTATTTTTGTTAATATTTTAGTTCAGAATTCGTTGGCGGAGTGTCGTTGAAGCCCTTTGTTCCACACCGAACTTACAGATTCAGGTTAGCGAGTCTGTCAGCCATTCAGTCAGTCAGTCAGTCAGTCAGTCAGTCAGTCAGTCAGTCAGTCAGTCAGTC